GAAGAATATACAAAGCAAATGATGCACAACGCAATTGCTCACCACCCGCCAACCGATGACCAGCCAGTCCCTGAGTAGTGGCCCCCCTGGCCAGCTTTCCCCCAGTCTATATACTGAGCATGATGTCACATGGTGTGGAATGTCCCTTTGGCCAGTTTGGGTCAGCTGTCCTGGCTGTGCCCCCTCCCAGCTTCTTGTGCACCTCCAGCCTTCTCAGTCAGTAGAGCATGGGAAGCTGAAAAGTCCTTGACTGGTGTAAGCACTACTTAGCAACAACTAAAACATCGGTGTGTTATCAACATTGTTCTCATACTGAATCCAAAACACAGCACTGTACCAGCTACTAGGAAGAAAATTAACTCTATCCCAGCCGAAACCAGGACACTATGACATTCCCAATTATCCTGCCCTGTCCTCCTTCATCCTCACTCCATCACATTTTTACAAGCAAGCTGGGTTAGCTGAAGACATGCATACTTTAACATAAAGTAGAAAAACAAATGAGTTATCCACACAATCATAAACTTCTCAGGCCATTTTCAACTTTACTTTCAAAGTGGGGGTAGTCTCCAGCCAAGAAATTCAGTACATACATGTGAAATCTACTCCACCTTTCTAATGAAAGGGCAATTCTCTGTCATGTAAAAAAACCAAACCAATTCTATGCAAATAACCCATGAGCAGGGTAAGCTAGTGGCAATGATAGGAAGTTTAATATACTTGAATCAGAATGTTGCTGATATAATGCTAATGGATTTCAGTGCAGGTTTTGTTTCTGTTTTACACAAAGGCTGCTCCGGTGACATTCCAAAACACCACAGTACATAGTCAGAATGCCTCTGTTAAAAATAGCATCTAATGTTGCTACTGTCCCCGAGTATTTTATACCTCCACCCACAAACTGTGATCAACAGTTGTAAGCCTGTTGGTACCACTGTACAGTCAATACTAGGTGGGAAAAGTACAATCATCTATTTCGATGTCTAGACTCCTTCCCCCTACCAAAAGATCTGATGAACAAGCCTCAACACTTACATTCAAAAGCCACTCTTCCAAACTCAGAGAACTCACACATTTACCATGCTTTTGACTTCTCCCTAACTTGGATAAGAGGAGGGAAGAGATATATGGACATAGCCCAGAGGAACACAGTACTTTGATAAATGTAATTTTGCATCTGATTTTTTATATTTACTCCTGCTGTCCTGATGTTTGATCAACATAATAAAATGTCTTTCTGTCCTGAGTTCACAGTGCTAGAATAAAAAGCTCTCTGAAAGGCATGAAGTATAATATAGTGTAACATCACAAGGTATTTTTTGCTCTGAAGTGGATCGAAGATCTTGACTCAATCAGTATTAAATTCCCCGATTTTCTTGCCCAGCCATAAAATGCACTGTAGTGCATTAACTTTTCCCAGGCTATTTGCCTTTGCTGAATCGTACTGTTTGTCATTTGGCATGGTTAACCATCACACAACGATAATGTCAAGGTCTTTGAAATTATTATGTGGCAGTGCAGACTTACTATCTTATCAGTAGCAATAAATATCTTGTTAAAATTGAGGTGTTACACAATTCTGACTACGCAACCTCAAGAGAGACCTACCTGATTTCCCCCTTCCGTTATCATCTTCTCAAGAGGGCAAAATAGACCAAAATTTTCATCATAAACCATTTCTGATACTCCTCAAAACTGCTCTGAACATAAGCATAAGTGAACATATGTAGGCAACTTGATACCAGACCTGAGCAGTGATTTTATTTTCATGTATATGCATTCATGTACATGACAGTATGCTTCAATCTCAACTTTTAATCTGTACAATGACAAAGGACAGACAAAGGTCTAGTTCTTATAATACCCACCCTAAAAAAAGGAAAACAAAATAAATCGAAGACTTTCTGAAGACTTTTCTTTAAACATACACAAAATTCATAACCATTTTAGAGCAGAAACACTGAAGACTGTCATTGACCAGGACTCAATTGTGCTAGAAATTTTAAGAGTGAGGGAAAAAAAGCCACACAAACAAAATCAAACCTCCACATATCCCAAACAGAACAAGAGGCAAAGAGCTTATGTCAAAATAAAGGAGGTTTCAGTCATTCGCCTGTTTGTACCTTCTTCTAACAAAGAGCTATTGGCATGAAACATCAACTCAAAGCGCTCTCCTTACTGGTAAAGCCATTAGGTTTCTTTTACTCTACTTTATGTAAACAAGAACTTGGAGGATGTAATTACTAAAACCCATATTTACTGAACAACCTATGACATGTATTCCTAGCAGCAGTAATTTAGTTATCAGTTGGTCATGCCTTTTCCTTCTGCCTATAACAAAATCAGAGCTTAACATTAATAAAACCAGTGTACCTTTAAGAAAGCACTGCAGGTTAAAAGAGGTTTAAAAAAAAACTGCTTAAATATTTCCAAGCCTTACAAAAGGATAAAGTATATAATTCACATTTTGGAGCAAGAGGGAGGTGAATGAAACAAGATAAGCAGAATTTCACAAGGCAGCATTCACTTAAATGAAGCACTCGGGCTATAGTAGCTCTACAAAGACTATACAGAGCAGGTCTTAACGCCTTCTTGTTTCACCTAGCCATTTCCTTACTTCTTGTCCGTCTTTCAAAACTCTTCAGTCAGCACTTATGCTTTGACACACTACATTCTCATTAACAAAACTGTTTTTACAGCCATCAGTATTCAGTTCCCAATTTTGATTTAGCAAAAATTTCAGAAGTTACTCTACTGAATACTTTCTCCTCAGTACTCTATCCTATTGCAAAGAAACCATCTACCTACCCACCCCTAAACCCATCTTCTTTCTTAGACTGCATGTCAAAAATCAGTTTACTTCTCATTAGTTCTTCCCTGCTCCACGCACACTTCATGAATTAGACAAAAAAAAATGTCAGGTTTCTGTGTATCACCTCCAGATGACATGAAATAAAAAAGCCTACTGACTGCCCTGACAGCCCAACAGAGTGAGCATAAATACCAAACTCTACCTTACATCAAAGTTAAGTATTCTGCTTTGCATTCATACACATTCCAGTTGTTGGCAGACAAAAGAGAAGCTTCCTAAAATCATTCCAGTTCTTAAGTGCTGAGATAGCCATATACTGTGAAGCTTAGTTCTTAATACCTGTGGTAAGCTGATCACACAGGAAGTACTCTCACAATAATCTCAATTCACTGACAGTTCTAATGTCCTCCCACCGAACATCCTGCTTGCTCTAATCAAACGGGTGAAGTGGGACTGCAGTGCCATATAGAGGGTCTGTTTTGATCCCTTACCTTCACAGAACCTGGTTTGATGTGCTTAATCCCACTGTTTCAGAATACAGTGAAAGAAGCCCATGAGAAGCAGCAGCTGCTGCCCGAGCAGTTCTAATGATGGAGCGGTATGCACCGATGTCAAATACTGGAAAGGAAAAAAGGCAGCACGAAGATTTTTGAAAAATCCAGACCTTGCCATCTAACTTCTAGTTTTGTTTGGTACAAATATGACATAGAATCTGATTGTCACTTAATTTATCTTTTCATTTGAGAAAGACTACGATTGCAAAAGTGAAAAAAACCACAACTGGGCACTGTATCTGGTGTATGCAAGCATAACTCACATGTTAGCGCAAGGTCTTAGGAAACAGAGATAGCAAATAAATATTTGTATATAAAGACCAACTATGCATAACGTACTCTAAGTTTATAAATAAAGTTTTGCCCTTAAAATTCCCATCTCTTTGTCAGAGTCCAAATCCCCCCCCCTCCCCCAAAGTTTAGCCAAAGGTCTTTCCTAATGTAAACCTGCAGCTTTGCACTCTGGCTTACATTTTCAAATACCCAGGACAAAGTTTAATAATGCCAAGACTTCCCCCATTTTTTAAAGCAGGATGTTTATCCTAACACCCAGCTATCTGACGGCAACAATATGTAATTATTTCAGAGTCTGTAGCTTTCTCTTCTTTCATGAACAATTTTTAGCCTCTCTGGTAAGAATAAATGAATGGCATTTAAATCTGGTACCAGACATCAGTGGCACTTCAGCACAACTATGTTTCCTCCTTGTCTATCAGTACTATGCTCACAGTGAGGTTCAGGGCCCAGAGTAATACAATTCTACTAATGAGAACCAACAGGCCTCCAATTCTGTTCTTTTTAGAGGGCTACACAGTCCACATATCTCAGGTAACGTGGTGAAAGAGCTGTGGTATAAAAAATGAATTTCAGTTAGTTGAAAAACAAGCAGTTTCAATTTGACCCAAACAATATCTTTTTTTCCAGCAGAGGGAGGACAGTTTATCCTGGGATAGCCCAGAATTTCTTTCTTTTTGATGCAAAATGAAACATTGCATCAGACTATGCAACTACAGACAACTCACAATCCACTGCTTCAGACTGCTGAGACACAAAGTGGTAATTGAAGAAACAAGCTGTTACTTGTTTTTAAAAGGAGATTAAATCTCCTTTCAATCTGGATTATTCCAGATTGCACTGGAATAAATGTATTCTATTCACAGAGAAATTTTCTTTTTCTATACGAGGCTGTCTATGAGAGGAATATAGCTAGATACCCACAAAAAGCTCAAAAGGAGGACATGAATTTAAATAAAGAATTAACTGATTTAACTTACATCCTTATACAGAAGAGGCAATATGATTTGGGAAAGGCAGAGGACATATTTCTTGCCCTTATACTGCAGTCTATCAAAGTATTAAGATTAGTTTTAATCTTAAATTTATATCTTGTTCAGCTGAGGAACATACTTAAATTTGATAAAACTGATCATAGTCTTATTTACTCAGATGAATGACTGTACTAGGAGAAATAAATATCTGGACACAAATCTTTCCTTACACAGACAGCAGCAAAGTTACAAAAAGCTAATGAAGTACACGTCATCTTAACCAACAGCAGCTATGTCTATAAAGATGTCTCCGTATATTAATATTAAATTTTATGCTGTATTCACAGACATGGGTTTTTTTGGTACCTGCAAGTAAGGTTAGGGTCAGCATTCCTTGATAGAAGCAGTTCCACAGTCTTCAAGATGTTTTCCTCTGAAGCATGCGCAGTACATGCTGCCATCAGCACAGTGTACTTATCTGTTTTGAAACTTACAGTTAGAGAATTACATATGTAAATACCATGCTAATCCAGAAGTTCCTTTAAAAGCCTTTACGTTTGCAAGAGTTGTTAATCGCGTTCTGATACTCTAAGACATTTAGAAAAGGGTAAGAAACTTGTTTTCCTTCCAGTTAAAGTCACTAGAATTATCAGGTAAGATAAAGGCAACTGAAGATACGCAGAAAGATCAGAGTGAATCGCAGTAGTAAAGCATCTGCTCCTACTGAAGTTTAGGATACTTCTTAGGCACCCAAAAAAACCCAGTAGGAGTTTAACTATAGATGCTTGTTTCTCAAATCTTGTTCCACACCAGTATATTCACTCCCTGTTCCTCCCCACCTCTCCCCAAAATACAGTCAAGGGAAGAAACAGTTTACAGGAATTTAACTGCAATGGATAAAAAAAAGTGCATGAAATGTATTATAAACACATAGCAACATCAATTTTAGGGAGAACAGAGGCCCATACAAAGGACAGTTGAAGTAACAAGACTTTATTATAGGGCTTAAGGAGAAGGAAGTAAGTTTACTAAACTAGACTACTATGGCACAGTAGTGGCAAGAGGAGGATTAAAAGTATGGTTTTAGATGTGGATTTAAAGACCATCTACACAGTCCATAAAGATTCATCAGGAGGAACCAGTGTATTTATTCCAGCTCTGAAGCCAGCTGGGTGTTACATGCCACCTTTGCTCACAAATCAGAATTGTACACCACTGCTGTTTGCCCACAGAACAGGGGAGATGTCCTTTCCCATGGTTCTCCTACAGAGATGTGGGAAGCATCACAACTCAAGGACCTTAGCAAGTTAGTTGGCCCTCGAGTCTATTAGAAGACTGCCATTTGAATAATTGCCCGTTTTGCTTATTGCACAAACTTGTTCACAAGTTCAAACATGCCTTGAACAAGTATGATTTTAGTTGTACCTACTTCAGACCATACCATGAAGTGTTACAACATATCTTCTAACTTTCTTGCAGAAATTTTAAGACCTTGTATGTATTAACACCTTTATTCTTCAACTGAGGTCAGATTTTATTATATTTAAACACGAGAAGTTTGTTATGTACTTTACCCCCATCTGCTCTACTTTCTTTATTTCTCACCACTTCTTGTCCCGCACCCCTCCAACCAAAGACTTCAGTTTTGCATTTAAATTTATCTGTTTTTTTAATATACCATCTTTTAATTTTCAACTACCTCATGTAGAAGTTCTAAAACACATCAATCAGTATGTTAAATAAAAAATCAAGTTTCAGAAAGTCACTTAAACTCCTGAACAGTAAGCAATTAACATCTCAGTAAATTACTTGATACACTGACAGATTGTTACTCAAAATGTTTAACCTGGTTATCAATAACAACATGAATGGAAAGATGGCAGGACTTTGAACAAAGGTAGTGATAAGCACCCCTAATCTGGGAATGACATTTAGGAGGAACCTGTAGTTGTATTTGTATTCAGTATTTCAGGTAGTGATAAAGAGTGGGAAATTCATTTCTGTTAGCCTACCTATAGCTTATACATGCGAGCAAGAGAAGGGGAAGGAACACCTTAGAATTCTCAGGTTTCTCTTTTGCAGAGAAAAATTGGTAGGAGACTGCAAAAAAGATCAGTTTATGTTCAGCCTAGCTGAAAAACCCAGAAGAGCCATGAATTTACTCCTCAAAGATGCTACATTCTGATCCCATCACACAGTGAATGCTACATTAGTTCCCTGTTCTTCACGACTACCAAAAAGGGTAAAATTAAGTAACGACTTACAAAGAATGACTGAAACGTGACAAAAGGTGATTAACAGTACAGCTATTATTAGGATTATAAGCATTATAGGGTAATTAGTATAGGATCACTTACGTGATTGCCTGCTGATGTAAAAAAAAGCAGCAGGACTGGTGACATTTAGTACCATTTTTGGATGGCATAGCTTTACTGAACACACATGGCCTGACCTGAATCAATGACTTGCAAGACTGTTCCTGGCTGGACAGTACTCTGCTGCGCATATGCCCTAGCTACTGTTTCCCCACACAGACTAACAGGGAAACAAGCTGAGAAACCTGATCCTAGCAAGGTGCCACTTAGGGCAAACGCAGTTGGTCACACACTGAAAAAATGCCATACACGTTGGTTAACTGGTCAGCTGAAACCGCTGCCCGTAGCAGTTTCTGCCCCATTTAGAGCTCTCTACAGCCATAAACAAGGAACAGGTATGAGTTGTAGGCAGCCACAGCTGTAGGCAGCCACATGGAAGTTTTCTGAAGTTGGCTACAAAGACAATAATTTGAAGGCACGATTGCTTTTGGTGCAGACAATCTACTCTAATCTCATACTCTGATCAGTTGCTAAGTTAAAGAAAATTTTCAGAGCCAGATTTGCACCATCTGCATTTCAGTCTACTACTATTATAATTATCAGCAAGTTACTGGAAAATAAGATCACTGCTTTTATGCACTTGACAGTACGGTGTGTCACATCAGTTTCTTCTGTACTGCAATGTGTTTTCTTGAACTTGGATAAATCTTCCAACATAATGAAAAAAGAAGGAAAATAACCACAGTTTAAGTAGGAAAAAGTACTATTAAGCCATAAAAATTGACAGAGGAACTGATATTACTAAGAAGCTACACTGAACTCTTGCAGAAAAAGGTGACCCAGCAACACACTGAAGAACAGTTGTCACTTAACAGAAAAATTGTGCTCTGGTTTTATAGAAGTCCACACTAGTTTCCCACGAACTGGAAAGCTATTCCTGTTGTTCGGGATTCTAGCTGGCTTCTGCATGTACATACTTTGTAACAGGATCAAACAAAGGAAGTTTTAACTCTACAACTTTATCCTAGAATTCTTGAACAAGAAATGAGAGTGAAAGAACAAGAAAACCCATCAACTGAATCCAGCTCAGCTCCAAGAACACAATTTTGACTTTAAAACTACTACTTTTACTTCAAAACTGTGAAAGCTAAACTAGGTCCCAGTTCCATTGTGAACTTTGATTTTTTCCCTATATATGTAAAAAGAGAATAAGGATAGGACAATGTCTGGTACTGAGCATTACTGGCCAGTATTTTTCATTCACATCTTACCTATTTCAAAACATGCATTAGCACCTCTGTCCAGAAGAAGACGCACTACTGCGAAATCAGCCACACTGGCAGCACACATCAGGGGAGTCCATCCAAACTGAAAGCTAGACTCTATGCTTATACCTGTCAAAATTTAAGATACTAAAATCATAAAACTGTACCACAATAAACATGCATTTTATGAACCTTACTCTCAATATGTATCGTTACAAAGGTTATATACACTGTTTGCGTTTAGTCCTAGGGAGAGAAGTCTCATACCATTTTCATTTTTTTAATACACCTTTATCTAGAATACCAGAAAACAACTTTTAGAACTGACACCAAGGAAGCTCAGTTCTCAATCCAAGAAGTTAAGTACCACAGAAAGACTACATTTAACAAAAATGCAAGTAATAAATTTAGCTGCAAAAATAACTTCAGAGAAGTGCACAGAATCTCTGTTTTCTCCACTTATGTGCAATAGCTTTCCCCAATCAAAATGAAAAATTTTGATTCTTGCCAAGCCAAGTGGACTGCTGTGGAAGCAGCTTACTTGCTTGTCAGGCTATTAAGATCATATTGACTAGGGTCTTCCTGCTTCACAGCTCCTTTTATTCTCTGTCTTGCAAGGCAGTTAACTAGCAGATACCTGTTTTGCATTCAGTACTAACAAAATACTATCTCAATAGAAAGAAGAAATAGAAGATTATGCAAGATTCAGTCACAATCACCAGATCTGTTACTCTTTATTAACAGCCATATCTTCCTTTGTGGCTCGAAGTAAGCTTGCCAGACAGCCCTCCCAAATTCACCAAGAACCAAGTACCAGACCGAGATACTCATCTGACAACTTTCAAATAAAAATCTCTATACATTTTTGCAGTAAAAGGAATCATCTTTCCTTCAATCCTTCCTCAAATATTACTTCCTCTATAAGTTTCCATCAGCTGGTTCCATATTAGTCCAACAGTGATTATAGATAATCAAAAATACTTCTTTACAAGAGACAGCTCTGAAAAAAACCAAAACTGTCCTAAGCAATTTGTGACAGTCGAGTTACATGCATACCTGTTCACGCAAAATGTGTATTTACTTTCCCTGCCTTGGTAGTTTGCAAAGACGTGCTCAGTGTAGCAACATAAAGTCATTAAAGCTGAGGGAGTAACAGGTCACTGCTCTGGGGTTGATTCTTCAACTGTTTAAGATCACTGGAGTTGTAGAAGCGCTCAGTAAAGAAGTAACCATTCAATGAAAGCCAGGTGTTAAAGGACTCTGGCACCTCTAACACCTGCAAGCCACAGAATTTATAATCAAATCTTCTTAGTAATGCATACTGCTATCTGCAGCCCTTAATGTCACAGCATGCCAGTTTGTCTGCAGTATACAAAACATGTCATTGAAGCCCACAGCCAAGTTCTACGAAGGGAGCCAACAAGCATCCCTTAGCAGTCATATCTGAACTTCCTTGTAGATGAGTCACTTCAAGAATTTAGAAAGTCTGATATCCAACAGCTCACTGAAGTAACACTATTAGGAAAGGAATACCAGAAAGCTGGCACTCTGTCAGCCTTAAGAAGTCCCTTTTCCTCTTAAGAAGAAAAGCAGTCCATGTAACTAGAGCTCCCATCTAGAGCTTTTTATTTTAATACATATCTGAACAATAGTGATGAAAGATCTACTTGGCAGGCATATAGAGACTTACTAAAACTCTTGAGAAGGTATTTTCCTTGCTGCTTTCTTTACACCTATAGCAGACGGCATCTGCCATGATGCCGGTGCTTTTTCTAAGTTCTAGAAGTAGAATGGTCTTTTTGGCAATGGAATGTCAAAGCTGTGTTACAGCTTGTTTGGCCTGCATGGTCTCCTGCCATCTTTGTAGTGACTGCCTCGATGTACCATGCAGTGTGAAAGTCACAGTGCAAACCAGCTAGAGTCTCATAGGAAGACAAAGGAAGGACACCTGAAACAGTAACAGTCATGTTGCTTCTTGGCTGCATGGTTGTAGGAGTTGTTGACTGAACCAGAAATGTCTCCCGTTGGTTACTACTCAGACTCTCTCTTACATGAGCTGTTTTTGAAGTAAGCAGCGCTAGTTTAGCATTTAAAACGGCCCTTAAGAAGTCCTATAAGGCAACAGTGAAGCCCAGAAAAAAAATTTTAGTGAAAAATCAGGCCAGATCCAACAGCCAGAGAGAGGTGAGGCTGCCGCAGCTCCACACCCCAAGGTCCAACCAGTATTGATGCTGAGCGTGTATTCCCAGCAGGCACACACATACATACACCGCTGACCACACCGATCAACACAGACAGACAGAGCACTCATGTGAACACAGAAAGCACCAATGGTCTCGTCCTGCTCCCCTTTGGGATAGATATATCTCCTCTAGCTGCTGGCATCACAGACACACGGGCCTCTGACCCCGTCCCACTCCTGTGGCTGGCACATCCTTTCACTCACTTGTCTCTACATTCGCTGGCACCCAGGCACCGGGGCCCTATGACAGCCCTGGGAGTCCCCTCCTCTGAGTCCACAATTTGAGTTCCTGCCTGCCCTTGGGCCTCTCTGCTCTTCTGGGCTTCCGGAGGTGAGCCTGTGATGGGCTGATGGCTTCCATGACAGGCCTGGGAGGAGCTGGGCCACAGTGTTATTTGGGGTCCTCCACCTGCCATTGCCCCTCTGTGTTCCTTTCTGGGCGTGAGCAGAGGAGCTTGCCAGTCACATAACCTCACAAATTATGTCTAGGAGGCAAAACAGATACAACATTCTTTCCTACAATCTGAGTAACAGGCAACTATCCTCCTCTTTAACCAGGAACGGGGAGAAATATGTTCTGGTCCCAGACATACTCCACAGCAGAAACTATATGAAGCACGTGAGTAATGGCGAAGCAAAAGAACAGCAAAAGAATGATGTTCTTTCTGTGTTTACTACAGTTTCTCCGGTACCTCTTTTAGATTATTTTGTTGACTGTGGCTAACAGTTACAGTAGAAAGGCTGTTTTTATACAGAAAAAGGTAACCTCAAATTCAAAAAGGTTAACAAGGTAATGCCTGAAGAACTACGATCAACCTCTACATACAGCTTTTAATGCTAAATAATTCCATGTTTGACACAAAAAAAAAAGAGGTCTTGAAAGACTCATTTAGTTTAAGACACGCTCTTAGTATTAGAATACAGTGACACTCAGACCAAATTTATCTGAGGAAAAAAGTTCCAAAATGCTTGATTCTAGAAGACTTCTCTCTACTAGAAGTATTTATTTCTTTTAAGTCTGTCAGCACTTCGTGCTGTGGTTCCACAATACCTTAAAGCTGAGTTAAATCAGAGCTGCCGATGTCTCCCACTGCAGGGCCAGCTATGGTTCCCATCTGACTCAGGGTTCAGAGTCCTAAACTGGCTGAAAAATTATACACATACCCCCCACACTCCCATAGTTTACTACTACTTTAATTCCCTGAACTGGCTCACAAAAGATAAGATGAGCTCCAGCACTCATGCAAAGATAGGAGTGGAACAGACTGCTGAATGTGAACAGGAAAGAGGATTTGCCTGTAGCTATAACTTTGATCAGCCTAAACTGTCATGAGGTCATAACTTTTAATTCCATTTGAGGAAAACAAACATATGAATTACATGGTGTTAAGTATTCTACTCCCAAAGCAGACCAAAATGCCCAAGTCATTTTTAAACCTGCTACTTGCTTGCATTACTTTTTGTGACACGTAGTTCAGAAACTTGTTCTTAGTATGTTGCCATTTTATAGGAGGGGTAAGGGAAGACATTGTGCTTGTCAGTCTCCTAAAGGAGCTCTGTAAAACTGTCTCAGCACCAAAGATTCTTAAAGCAATGGCTAAGCAAGCCAGAAGACAACACGTTCTCACTCCACCTGAAAGAACGGCCCCGACTGTTGCTAGGAAATCCACTTCCAACACAAACCCTGAGTTTGGTTGAGCGCTGGTAGCGAGCCTCCTACAAGCTCTACTGAACATACACTAAAGGCAACTTTGGAGGCAAAGATTTAATCTGACTGAGCACCGATCCCCTGACAGACAATGTTACCTTTCCGCAGAAACACCTCCCTGTTAGAGAGGCATTGTGTTCTACTGCTCTGCAGGACAGTATTGGATGGGTGAAAATTTACTGTTAATCATATTTTCAGGAAATGATAGATTCTTTTGTGATACTGCCTTGTGCATTTCAGGGGACAGGACACAAGACTACAGGAATCTTTGGCCTGACCTTACGCTCTTACAGATACCTATCTTCATCTTATAACAGCACAGAACTGCTCATTATGTAGCAGGCATCAACACAGAAAGTGAACTATTGCTGTTTGACTGAAATACAAGCAATTAAAAATGGATGGCTGTAACAAAACAATTGAGCAATCTGATGCACAGACATCACTAAAAACTCTGCCTATAAATAAGAACATATTTTCTCAAAGCAAGACAGAAGATGTATTTCACTCAGTATTACACCTCTGTGTTTCAGCCTGTGCAATAGTTTTTACCTAATTTAAAAAGCAAACCATTCCCCCACTGTGGTGAGAAACAGTCTTCTAAAAGGTCAAGTAATGTCATTGTTTTAAAACTCAGAAAAACCCACTGCTAACGAGGAAATTACTTTCTTCCAGCCATAAGACAGATTTTCCTCAGAGAACAAGCTCTTGGCTACTATATTCTGCTTGCTTGCCGAAGCAGAACTCCCTGACAATTATCACTAGGCAGGTCAACTCAGCTATGCAGTTTTTGATTGCCCTGGATGCTTCAATAAGTGATCCAATCCTCCTAACACTGAATAACAGAAACACATTACAGACAAATACTGAGTAACAGAACAGGGAGAAAGGCTTTTAGTGTTAAGACAAACTACTTTTTAGTGACAAATGCCATATAAACCCTATTAGACCTTTCGGAATCACAAAATCTTTGTCCAGCTGATGTTGCCAGGACAGCAGTATTACACAGGGCACATACCAGAAACTCACCAGTCCTGTGAGTGAGGAAAAAAAAAGGAATTTCCAAACTGGGGGAGCATTAAAACAAAAAAGCCAGCCTCCCCTTCCTGCCCCCCACCCTGAAACCTTCAACACCAAAGTAAGATCACCCACTGAATATTCACTCTCAATTTAAGCCACCTCAAATTCAGTGTTTGTAATTGATATTTTCAGGTTAAAGATGCATCTGAAAACAAATAAACACCTTATTTCATTTTTCACACAATATAGTTTTCTCAATTTTCAGGGCTCCTGACCAACGAAATAAGTATAAATTAGAAGGCATATGCTGGAATACCACATGCTGAGTCACTGAAAAAGTAATTTCATCATTAAAATAAGAGTTTATATCCTGTACTGGAAACATTCACATATTCCTACATGCACTCGACACATTATTTTGAAACGAGAAACTTTGAAGCCTTAGAATTCTTGCCAAGTTCAATGAAAAATATTCAACTTCATAACTGACTTTCCTCACCGGAGTTTAAGAGTTCTTCAATTAATGACACATCACCATGAAACAGAGCCTTCTTTAACGCGTCATTCTTGTCTGCCTGCAACATTTGATCCAACTGCTAGATAAGCAAAGCAAAGTTAAGTCAAAACCTAGTAACTGTTTCAAGGTAAAAACTACAGCTTGATTTCAGTATAAAAGCACTAGTGATCTCTGTAAGGACAATGAGGAGAAGGGGTGGGTGGAGAGCAAGGTAAGACTTTCCTTCTTCCATCTCTGTAGACCTGCTTAGGGTCTACTGTAAAATGTAAGTTTTAAATTAACTTTTCAGAAAGGTTCCATTCTCTGAAAATGTAAATATCTTCTTTCTCAACAGAACTGCTACCCTCCTACGCTGCTCTCCATTTTTTTTAATGGTATTTGATTTCAATTAAGATTCCTTTTCATCTTTTGGCACTAGGAAAATATTGCAATGCATTTCTGTACTTTTTTTGTACATTTCATAGGTTGCAAAGCACAGCATTAAAAACATATATCTATCAGACATAAAAGTTAAGAGTTTGGGGCAACGTAGCTCAATGACTAGCTGTTTGGCTTAATACAGCATGAGTCTGGATCACTCACAGCATGAATCTTTGCAGCACTGCTGGAAAGGGTTACTGTTCCTCTTTCCTCCTACTCCTGTGGTGGCAGAGGTGTTTGTGTTGCCGCATCATAAACAATTTGGCTGAAAAATGCCCTGACCAAAAGACTAGTTTATGCATCAGACAGTTGCCTGATTCAAGTTCCTTTCAAAAGCATCACAGATTTGTTCTCTATTAAAGCTGCAGCTGAAGATTGCTGCTGGCGTTATCTAGACTATACAAAACTCCTACATACACCAATAAGTGGAGGACTATTCACTAGTTTCTTTGCAGACAGAAGTGGGTATGGAAAGAAGGGAAGTCATATTTCATTATAAGTTTTGAAGTCATAACATGAAGACCCAGAATTATACCATTTTCCCCAGAACATCGTAGTCTATATTTCCAACAACTTTTGTAAAGTTTTTAATAAGTGCTTAGTGTCTAGAAAACCAAAGATGAGAAACAGCCAATGTAATAATTTAGCCCTATTTTTGTTCTACTCAGTCAACAATTTCCAAATAACATGTATCTTTGGATAGGAGCCTCGATTTAAAGATCAAGGCCCCTGAAAAACTGACTATAACCTTTAGCAAGAGTACGGCAAGTATTCAGTTACTTCTATTTTCCAATTCCAGCCATGAGACAAACCAGCGGCTAAAAAGCCTTGCAGAATCTCCCTCTACCTCACACTGCCAGATGCCTCACACCTATTAGCTGCAATAAAATCACTTAAATCTTCACGGTAGCAAGAAACAGTCTCAGGGATTTAAGATCTAAAACAGCTTTATAGGCCTCCGGTTGCTTTCAAATTTATTCTCATGTTGAAATAGGGACTAGGGTCTATTAAGGGGAAGAAAAGTGTTTTAAATAAATATTAAGGTTTTACATAAGAAAACAAACCTCCGAGATTTAGGTTTTATTCACTCCTGGATTAAGGGTACACCACCACTACCCTGCTAGGAAATAATGGCAGAGGAGATGCCAGCCGCAGCCCTTCCCTGAGGCCACCCCCACCCTCCTCAGTGAGACCCACCGAGCCCCACTCCCCTCACCGCGGCTTCAGGCCGACGCCACCTCCCTCACGTTACCCCACCCTGAGACCGCCCGGCCGCAGGCCCCAGCTCGAGGGCGCCGGGAGCGGAGAGGCTTAGCCCCACCTGCAGCTCATGCCGCACGACGCCGATATCCCAGCCGTCCTCGTCGCTGTCCCCCTCCTCCTCGCCCCCCGCCA